TTTAATCCAAAAGAAGACGACAGATTAAAATAAACGTAAGCTTTTGCCTGAATATCCGCTTCATATCTATCTGCATAAAGTCGTAAATCACCGAAAAGACATGACATACCCAGGAAGCCACTTCATTAACGTCGCATGCCTGGGGAAACACGGAATAAACAAGGATATTACTTACAGAGAAAATTGCGTTTCTTGCCCGCCTCGCTCAAACTTTCAGAAGGGTATAAGTTTCGGGAACAAATAGGGAGGAATCAGCAAAATCTGTCTGATGGTAACCAGTGCCGTAGTTGGTGGTGAGGGAAGCTATCCGATTCGACTTGCCGCTTGTGTGGTCTCAGGGACATAAAGCGGATGGGAAGGTAACACAATGAGCGGTTAAAGAATCATTTAGTTTATTAACTTGCTTGAAACAGTTTTAATCATACTTAACTCAAACAAATCCCTCTTTGGGTGACGCACAGAGATAGCGTAATGTTTTGTTTTACAAAAAATAATACAATAATGTAGATTCTGTCTTCCAGTAATGTTGGATAAAAAATAATATTTCGGTCGATGGAAAAGATTGGTTATAATATGTTATAATATATTTTAGCATAATTTATAATACAAATATACCGAAATAAGTTACTCCAAAGTAGAAAGAAATTATATGCAATAGATGATACTATTGCGATAAGCTAGTAAGCTAGTTTGCTGAAAAGGAATGTTAAGCGATGACTCCTAAAGTGTGTGTTGCGAGTCACTTTCGGTGAGTTGCGTGAAGTTTTAAAGCTTTATTGTTTTGTTATAATGCTAATTATATTTACTTAAAATTATTAATTACTTTGTAATAATTATCCATATTAATTTTTTACCAGTTCATTACAACATTACTATTAGTCCATTTTTACATTGCTATTATTCTTACATGTAAGAACAACTATATACATATGAGTCCTATTAAGTCTCAGATAAACGCAGATAATTCGAGACTATACGAAGATCACGATGTAAAATTGCTTGGGAAATAATATAATGTCTCTACAACTGCCATTAAATAAGTGAATTAGATAAAAGCTGTTATTGTTCTATAAATTATTATGAAAAAATATTTTTATTTTTATAACAACAGGTTCTTTAGATTTGAACAGCAGATTTGAGCTCGGAAATTTGTATTTCCCTTTGCGTCTGTGCAGTCATTAAACGGAAGAGAAGTGCAACTGTATATAACCCACAACAGAAGTCAAAACTAGTATAGTTCTGGTTATCCGTATGTCATTCTGGATACCATCGTGGCTATTAGTTGTAACTACAGTACTCCCCATCTTGGAAGGTGTTTCGAGGGCCGGAATGGTGCAGTGGATTTAGCTGTCGAAGGCAGGTATGACAACAAGAATCCATTAAAGCGTGAGTTTCAAGTCCTGGTCAGCATCTACTATGTAATAAGGCATCGACACTGAACCGAGTGCCTCCGAACCCAATATAATGTCAAAGTGGATTTGATAGATGTGACAGAAATTATCATGATCAAGTCAACATTTGTTTATCACACGCTATTTCTTACATGTCATAGGCTGTTCATCTTTTCTGTTGCATGTGAGGAAAGACCCAATCAAAACCTTACATTATATCACTTAATCCAGTATTATCTTTGGAGTACGAAATTAACTACTCTCAGCCCCTAACAGAAGGTTATGGACCTGCTAAGTCCATTGTAGGTGCACACCTAAGAAGTAAGTGCAACATCTTTGTTGTGGTGATAAAACAAGATAAACGAGATTACCTATTTCCTTGGCTTTACAGAAATAGCGTGTAACAAATGAAAATGATGACCCTTAACACGCATATTGAGAAATTGAATAGAATTGACTTTGAAATACGTCGTTTCGAAAGAAAAATGATTTTAATTCAGAAAAAACTTTGGAAATGGGCTGTTGATGAAGCCAGAATCTTCTGAAGTTAACATAGCCAAACTACATAAAAGGATCCAAAAAGTTTAGGAAGTTTTAGCAATAGCGTGAAATTGTCTGAGGTAGCGCACTTAAAATTTGTATGAAGCATGGATGAAATTAGGCAAAATTCATCATCCGAAAGGGTCTAAGCCTTTATTTAGCTACTTATATCGAAAGAGATGAAAGCGAATGGTTTGATTTATGCGATTACGGCAAAGCCTCGAGGGCTATCTGCCTAAGGGAATGTATGCCTTCGAGAAAAACTTTCTAAGGAAAACTGGCTGGTATATACGTTACACAAGGAGAAAACCACGAAAACGTCCATGCAGCCAGCCCGTTCGCAGGATTCGAACCTCGAACCGAACGACCGGTTTTCAGCGACTTTACCGCTCAGCCGTTGGTGGGCGAAAGCGAATGAAGCAATGCAGAATTGATTAACTTCTTCCTTCGAAATTGTATATAAGATTGCAGAAATAGGACCTGTAATTCCAGAAGACTTCTTAATTATTTTTTAACGGGAGATAAAGAATAAAGCAAAATGAGCTGTAGGCTGTAAATATACAGGACGTAACTGATGTTTCAGATGCTGCTCACTGCAATGCAAGTATGCACAACAATAAATTGAAATTATAGAATGAGAAATATGGGCATATAAATGCAGCCGATTTAAAAGTATTGCATTTTAAAATGATGGTACATGGTCTAAAGATTCCAAAGTGCAATAATGAAATCTTATTTTTTTAAACTTGTATAAAATGTAAACAAGCGAGATTACCATTCCGAAAAGAAGCGCCCGCAATAAATCGTGATATTCTTGCGATATTCTTGATAAATCGTGATATTCGCAATAAATCGTGATATTCCAATATCTGTGGTCTAATAATAGTTTCATCTTCAGGCGCGCAAAATGTTTTATAGCATTCATCGATGACAAATCGCGAAAGTTACTGGGTACGCCATAAGAAAAATCTCAGTATCCTTTGAAAAAATTAAACAGTACAAATTACAGAATGAAAAACAGACGCAGAAGCAATTGAAAATACTCCGATGCTATAGCGCCAAAGAATTCACTAGCCATGAACTCAACAAGTTCTTAGAAGGTTGAGGACATTAAACTCCAGTTCTCAGCCAAGTATAGACTGCAACAGAATGGAGTTGCAGAACGCGCCAATCGTATCCTAGATGAAATGGCTGGTTGTCTGATGTTCAAGACAAAATTACTCCAAGGTTCGTGGGCAGAAATGGTATCAACAGTCGCTTTCATACATCACCGATGTCCTACTAAGCGTAAATCAAAAACGCCTAAAGAAATTGTGTCTAACAGAATGCCCACCGTAGAACATTCCAGAGTCATAGGAGATTAATCTTTTATTTATTTATTTATTTTTTCTTTTCTTCATATGTGCCTGGAAGAGTGTTGAAAAATTTGTATTTCCTCTTGCGTCTGCCCAGTGCTGAAAAGGAAAAGAACGGAATTGTATGTAATCTGCAATAAAAAGCAAAGCTGTGTATTGGAAGTGGACATTATCGTGGATGTTAGTTGTATCTGTGGTACTCGCTGAGGATTTCTAAAGGGAGAGGTGTTTCGAAAGAAGAAATGCTGACGTGGATTTGATTTGGTTTAGTTATTTAATTACGGCAAAACACACTAGGCCTATCAGCCTAAAGGGAGGGATATCTTCGTAGAGAACGTCTTAAGAGAAACTGGCTTGTATACATGTTACACATGGGTAAAACCACGAAAATGCCCATGCAACAGCCCATTCACCTGGAATCGAATGCAGGTTGGAACTAACAGTGTTGAGCGATTTTACCGCTCTCCGCTGGTAGGCCACTGACGTGGATTTAGCTGTAATTACTCTCGTATTGACGTAATTACTCTCAGCGTAATATAGTAAGTGCTGTGGACCTAATATAACTCCAAAGTAGACCCGACAGGTGTGATGCAGAAGTTATCATGATCAAATTACATCTGTTTATCCAACTCCTTTTTCATATGTCATAAGTTGACATACATTGTTCATCTATTGTGTAAAGTGTAAGCAAATACGTAATTAAAACCTTATGTTATATCACTTAATACAGTGTTCTTCGCCCGCAAAATTCTACTACGGAAAACAATCTGAACCTCCATCATAGGGAAGTTAATTTTACCAGTGATATCCCTTTAGGTTTATAAATAGAATGAAACAAGAAAATTGTGTAAATTTTAATGACTTTTTAAATTGATAAAAGAATGTAAAAAAATTTTTAATTAACCTTCATCAGAACTAATCTGATTTCTACTTGATATATTCAAATAAAATTTTATCAATATTCTAAAATTGGAAAATTAGTTTATTTTTTTTTTAGTTTTATTCAGAAATAGAAACTGCAAAATTTTAAGAAAACTAAATAGTTTTTTTTAAATATGGCCTGTATTTTCTTGACACTAATATTGCTGATGAAACTGTTTAAATATTGTCTTCAGAATTTAACGAAAGCAAAATTTATTTGAACTAAAATCATATGTGGATAAAGACTAATAAAAAATTGTTATAATGAAATCAATAATGAATATTTATAAATAAATCTACTCCTAACCGAGAATTTCAGAATCGAATCTGTTGAAAATTATTTGGAGTTCGAAGAAATCGTAATCCAGAAGTCCCATATGTATTCTTGGCTATTAGACAGAAAGGACATCGTAAGAAATTACATTTTATAGCTAAGCACCTTCTCATGAAAACATAACTTACCAAAATCCTGACATGATTTATTTTCCTTGAATTTAATAATATGCACAACTAATAATTTGTTGAAAGACATTCTATGATGTCCACCTTTATAATGCATGACTTTAAAGAGTTACAAATAAAGCTCAGGTAAATTACCTTAATTGGCTAAATCTCTAAGTAACGAAAATGAAGGGCATTTCAAGTGAAGCAAGTAAACAAACACTTGTTTTATTCTGAAAATGTTTTCAACACATTCACATCAATTTATTATTCTCTTACGATTCATAGACCGAAATCAGATATTGGATTATGGTAAGTAATAAACGGATGACATGAATATGAAGAAACATACCTTCCCAGTATCTTGGAGACGCAACCGTGGGAGACCCTCAGCTGCCTGCTGATGTCGCAGGGCCGGACCCCCTGGTGGGCCAGCTCCACTATCCTCTGGCGTACCACATCGGGCAGTGGCCGGCCGTTTACGAACACGCCGCCCAGTTGGTTCACGCCTCCATGGCCTGAAAATAAAAGTTTCAGGAATCAAATATCGTATATGAAAGATCATTTTATCCCGTAATTTTTCCTTTGTTTCCTGATGTCCAGACGAAGAACATTAGGCAACTCCAGGATTCCGGTTGAAGTTATGAATCACTTATGAATCACAATTAACTTTTTAAACAATTTTAACTACGAATTCATGGAATTTTAGTTAATATAGGTGAAGTTTACAGAGTAGAATGCTCCTTAAGTAAAACTGAATTTGCTACTAGAAATCTGAAATTTGTAGAAAATTACTGATTAATCAAAAAATTCATCAAAAAGTGAATGCAGTGATTCCTTTTCGTATTTAATAGCAACTTCTTTTCAACATTTGAATGTATGTCAGAACACAGAAATATTTTCCTAACCCCTAAATATATTTAACATTATGCCTGAGCAGCTGGGTAATTCACCTGCGGGGTTAAATCACTCAAATTTAAATTGAAACGCACTATATTCAGTATTGTTTATTCAAGCAAAAATTTACATAAAACATTTTGTGAGGCTATTTTTAACGGACGCAAGATATTTTTTATCATTACAATCATTGAAAGATACAAGACACACAGCCATGCCTTTTTTACATCCACTAATGAAGACAGAACATTTCGATCTTCCTAATCATTGCAAGGTACGAAACAGCGCCATCTTTTTCTCAAATCCGAAATACTTTGAGCGACTATATATTTTCACATTCACTGGTTAATTGTTATATTTAAGTACTCTTTATAATCTAAACCTACACAAGTATTTTGCCTAGATTTGATAAATATTTCCTTTTCCTTTTTGTGTCCATGATCATTAGAATGACTTTTAGCTCATTAAGGAAACAATAATATTTTAAAGAAGAAACGCATGAACTCTTTTGAATAGATAAAACTGGCCATGTAGCTCACATGATTAATTTTAAAGCAATCTGTTGCCTAAAAATGCGGGAATTTATTTTTAAAAATAAGTCGTAAGAACTTGCCATTCATCCATCACTAAGAAAACAGCTTAAATTGATTTTTTCATTCCTTCGTAATTTATTCTTGAAAGTTTAATATCCAGATTTTTAATTTGCAAAAAGTACTAATGCATTCGATGCAAAACGACGCTCATTCTGTTTCCAGAGAAAACAAAGAAGTACGTTTTTTTATATGTTTAAGAAGCTCATTTGGTTCAGCGAAGACGATTTTCAAATCTCATAGGTCCTTCAATCTTCCTTCTGGCAGTATGATGTTTGCAGATAGAACCTCATTCGTTTTAAATTTCTTGCAAATTTAACTCGTAAATCACAGCTTACCATCATTCATCTAATAATCGAAATTACGTAAGTAATAACAAGAGAATATAATAAATCACATTTCGTTGTTTTCAAAACACTCCATCCGTATAACTGAATCAGCAATTTTCAACTCTGTATTTTGTTTTGGGGGTTTGAGACTTGGAAGACTAAATAGCACTTTGTTCAAGCAATCTTCAACTTTTTAACCTAAAGGGGGATCAGCCCAAAGAGGCTATTATTCTCGGAACGCCATTTTGAATCGATTAACAATAAGTGTCCATTTCACTTTTCAAATTGTTGCCACCAAATATTATCGCCCTGTATTATATTTAAAGAAATTAAATAACGAAGAATCTTCGTAATTGTATGTATGTTTCTTGCATTATTAAAAAGCAACCAGTACCTAGAGCCATCAAATTTTGAATAACGTACCCGAATATGGGCACCTGGAAGTCCGAATTGGGAACTGCGAATTTATTTTATTGTCTATTTCATATTTTGTAAAATTTTAACAAATTTTCAATGAACAAACTCAACTATTTCAAAACGAGCAACGGCAATAGTATACGAAAAATAAATTATCTCCATCGCGCAAGACTATCTATCGGAAATTCTGAAGATATTCTGTTTTTAAACACTTTTAGCCCAAATACTATTAATTATAATAATATTATAATAATAATTAATATTAATATTAATATTATTATTATTATTATTATTAATTATTATTAATAATTATATAAACGCTTGTGTAAATGAAGAAAATGCCCTTTAGAAGTAATATAAAATCTGAAAGCTTTTATTATTTATTTCTTTTTTCAAATGGCGGTCCTAAGGCATCCACAAACGTTGGCCGCTACTAAAGCTGGAAGCTGTGGTCGCATTAGAATGAAGGCACCTAATAGTTAGGCCGCCGTTGCCTCCTATGAGAAAACGGATTAACACATCCATGCCTCCTCCGGGATTTGAATCCGGGGCCTTCGGTACGGCAATCAGACTCACTAGCCACATTCTCATCTGTACGGAGCAAATTTTCAGTTGTTAAAGCAATGATCTGCTAAATCAAATTCAACTTCAACCTCCATGCGGAAGCTAGCATAACATCTTGAAATTTAGTTTTTTGACACCGTTTTCAAATGACTCCATTAAAAATGAGATCAAACAGTTTTTTCGTTAAAATATTGCGCTGCTGAACTTTAAACTTTTCGTATTCAAAATAATGACCCCCAAAATATGGTTCGCAAGAAAATTTTCGATGTGCGATGAAAGGTTTTGAAATGTTTTTGTTTTCTTGTATAATTTACCTATTTATTAAAATATATAATTATTAACTATTTGCATTCTATTTGTTTCGTCTTTTTTCTTTCTCTCCTCCCCCCCCCAGTGCAGTTCTGTACGTGAGGGTCGATGTAAATGACAACTCTGGTCACTGAGCTGCGAGAGTTAAGTTAATTGATTTATTTTCGAGTCAAATGCCTAATTTATGTAACATATATATGTGTAAATTAACATGCATATACTTAACAATCCCAATTTCAAGTTAGGATTTCTTTTTTCTCTAAAAAATTGCCAAATTGCGCCAAGAAATTTGTGCTGATACATAAGTATCAATACTTTTTGATACTTTATACAATCAGTTTGGTTCTTTGTTTACGTGTGGAGTTTTTATTTATTTATCGGTGTATGTGTATATGCTTGTTGGTTGCCTCCCAAACCAGACAGTGGTTAATAATTCAGACTGCCGTACCTAAGAGGGCCTGGATTGGATTCTCTGAGAAAGCATGGATGTTTGTAAACGTATAGTGTCTTCAATGCATAAGGCAGCAAGGGGGCATTTAAAATACACGTCGAGCCGAAAGTCCACTCGAGAGGTTGTTGGTAGGGCAAGAGATGTGGGAGATCATCCGGCTGCACCCTAGTGTGTTTTCGCTCGGAATTCCATCCGGGGTGGAAATTTAGCAGTTAACATGTCCCGGCGATACATAATGTGCCTACTGTGATGCACAGATGCCGATTTTGGCTCAAATTGTACTTGTATATAAATGTAAATTGTACTTGTAATTCTACTTGAACAAACATATGTTTGTTCTATCCTGTAGGAGACCTAAACGTACTGATACTGAAAATGACTATATTAATATTACTTTTATGGCATGTTTTTCATTTAAATGAAGTCTCTGGAAACAAGCATCTATTTTCCTAAATAAATAGTTTTCTTACGCTTTACTTTATTCAAATAAATTATAACTGAACTGAACAACATTTCAAATTTGAGATCCCATCTTTGAATCTTTGAATTTAATTATCCCATCTTTGAAGAACTAGTTAAATGATTTCAGTCCTTTAAATTATTGTTTAAGTTTTCTATTAATTTTCGAATTAAAGAAGTAACTAATTCTAAAAGATAACAGCAGTTTTTAAGTAAATTCTGATTTATTCTGTTATAAAGTTTGCACTAGAATTAAAAAATGAAATCTTTAAAGAGCTTGCATTATATTATTATTACTATTATTATTATTATTATTATTATTATTATTATTATTATTATTATTTACTGAAAATAACTGATGAAAACACTACTAAAACTTAAATTATATCAACCCTTTTATACTTTTACATGCATTTTCTAAGAATCATAACATATTTTAGAATCTCAGTGTAAAGACCAGTACGCAATTTCTATAAATCTATACAGAAACAATTTAAAAGAGAAAAATTTTACTGTTTCATTTAGCGAAAACATTCAATATTATCACAGGCTCTGCAATATAGAACTTTCACACTAAAGTAAATTGTTAAACTGTAACTTCTTTCGCTCTCATAGCTGGAGACCATTAAGACTTAATAACTGTCGATAACATTCAGAAGATCAGAAGCACCCATTCCCAGCTCTTTAAGAGGCTCAAGCTTCAATATCCTAAGGATCAGGGTGAAAACCATAAACGTCATTTAAGACTTCGTTTTCTGGAGGGATTTAAGGTTTTGACCTGATTCACTATTGCGACTAGCGGAGTTTACTATCGGCTGTTGTTCAGAATCGATTTCGGTATCATGTTTTTTTTTTTTTTTTTTTTTTTTTTTTTCCCCAGCTATTTAAGACAATTTACGAGAATGTTAATTTTCGCATTTTGTTACTCGATAGAAAATAAGACGTTTTACACTTTCTTCTCTTTTGAAAGGCAAAAAAAAAAACGTTAATACATTTAAGCCTAAATATAGAATGACTTTCATAATTGGTTAAAAAGTGATACATCAAGCTGAGTAAATATCTTAAAAAAGAAAACCATTTGAAATTCCCATTGCTATACATTTTTGAATTTTTTAACGTTTTAATGCGCGAAAATCTTTACGAAATCCGATTTAATGAAATAAATTTAGAACGATGTAAAATTAGATTCAGTAGTACAAATTTAAAAAGAATCAGAATTACGCTTAGTACAGTAAATTTAACAGAATGTATTAAGTTTGCTATTAAGCATCTAATAAAAGAAATAATTTAGTTGATTTTTCTATGTCTAATTTGCAACTTCAATGGGGGAAAACCTTAAAACGTTTCCTAAATTTTATGGATTTGCAATTCCAAATACAGAGGTCACTCTGAAATTTTTGAGATATACACAAGCGATAAGTGGCAAAATAAAATTAACGGCTAGATTTGAATATATGAACTATTTTAGCCTAGTAGACAACTTTTTATTAGCCAACTGCAAG